CCTTCCACAGCCTGCAGTTCAGCGTCTTAACCACTTGAGCCACCGCAGCTGGAAGCCAATATAGATGGAACAAAACTGGGGTAGTACGTTGGGTTGCCACCTCTGAGTCGGGAAATTTCCGGAGATTTGTGAGTGGACCCTGGGGAGGGCAGGGTTTGGGAAAGGGAGGAGCCTCAGTGGGGTACCATGCCATAGAGTCCACCTTCCAAAGCAGCCATTTTCTCCAGGGGAACTGATTTCTGTATCCTGGAGGTTAGTTGTAATTTTTTTAGGAGGGGCTGTGGCCAGCGGTAGAGCATCTGCTTGGCATGCAGAAGTTTCCAAGTTCAATCCCTGGCATCTCCAGTTGAAAGGACCAGGTAGTAGGTGACGTGAAAGACCTGGAACCCTGCAGAGCCACTGCCAGTCTGAGTAGACAGTGCTGAATTTGAGGGACCAAGGGTCTGATTCAGTATAAGGAAGTTTCATATGTCCACGAGATCTTGAGCTACCACATGGATGTCGGCCACCAGGGCTATTTTTGGGCAGGAACGCACAGGAACGGAGTTCCGGCTGGCTCCTGAGTTGGCCACGCCCATCAGGAACTCATTAGCATAACAGGCCACACCCAACAGCAGAAACTCATTAGGATTGGCTAAATTCGGGGTGTGTGGCCTAACATGCAAAGGGGTTCCTGCTACAAAAAAAGGCCCTGGGTTTTGACAACAAACGAAGTAAACAGAATAAGAAGCAAAAGGTGGGTGTGGCTGGATGACAACACTTCTAGTGACATGGGGGTGTGGCCTAATATGCTAATGTGCTGTGCTGTCAGGGTGTGGCCTACTATGCTAATGAGTTTCTGCTGTTGGGTGTGGCCTGTTGTGCTAATGAGTTCCTGCTGGGCTTTTTCTACAAAAAAAGCCCTGTCGGCCACCATGGGGTCCATATGACCTACTCCAGTCAACATTCTGGCGTCCCATACTTCTCACGTGCACCCTCACACACACCATTTTCCTGACCTTTAACTAATCTGGTTTGATGTTTGTTCGTTGGTAGCACAGTAGCCGTCTGCATATGGTGTTAGACATCTTGAAATCAACACCTATGGAGGGGAAGAGGGCATGAGTGTTTTGCCTATGCACAGTCGCTGGCATGTGAACACAGAGTGCATGTCTCAACAAAGTGCGTGTGCATAGGCTGTATCCCCAGTGCATATATTCCCTTTGTGCATAAACTCTATGCTCATGAGCCTGCGGTCACGCATGGGTGGGTGAAAAGGCAGGTCTCCCACTATTCCCACTACTCCCCACTGGTGCTGCAAAGGCAGATGGGGGACGGACGGAGTGGGGTTTGTGTGCTGTCATTGTTCCCCCAAGGGCACTACCCATGTTCCCCCAAGGGCACTACGGTCGGGGACCCAAAATCTGGATATTCCAGGCCCCAGGAAAATCAAACTCGCTGTGACCAGAGCCAGGGCGTTTTCGTTGGTGGCTTCTACCTGGTGGAATGAGCTTTCAGAAGAGATCCGGGCCCTGCGGGACCTTGGGCAGTTCCGCAGGGCCTGTAAAACGGAACTCTTCCGCCAGGCTTTCGAGTAGGAGCCGCCGCCACCAGTATTCCACCAACGCTTTTCCATCACCGCACCGCACGATGTGGATATTATCGGGGTGTGTGAGACGTACCTGGTGGATGATAGGGTTGTGTGGGGACATACGGTCGTTGTATTATTATAACATCTGTAGAACACCATCTTGATTTTAGGACATGGAGAGAGCAGTGGAGCACCGATATTTTATTAATTGCATTATGTTGCATATTGTATTGTATTTTTATACTGTTCTTATTGTTTTTATTAGGCACTTGTGCCCCTGTTCGCCGCCCTGAGCCTCCGGGGAGGGCGGGATACAAATTTGAAGAATGAATAAATAAATAAATAAATTGTGCCAGCATATGACATCACTTCTGGTGAAAACCCAGACGTGAGGTCATGACGTCAGTGCTGACATTCTGATCTTGATGTCAGAGCTGAGTGTCACGCTGGGGACAATATTTATAAAATCTGTTCTCAGGAGATCACCCTTACCAGATCAGAACACTGACCCGGTATATATTTTTGAAACTTCCTGGTGCATCACCGGGCACCGTGCGGGGGAGTGTGTGTTGCCAAAGTCTTCTGCCATCTTGGCCAACACAGAATGCTTTGGAGAGCTGTAATCACACGGCACGGGAGTCTCCCTTATTTGCCGTTGTCTCAGAGCCATCTCCTTGCTTTTGCTTTCTTTAGAAACGGGAGGAAGAAGAGAGACAGAGGGGCGAAGAGCAGATCCGCCAACAGGAAGGACGCAGAGCTCAGGAGCTTTACCTGAGCCTCAAGCAGGCCCAGCAGTGCAGCCAGCACAATGAAAACGAGGACCCGGAATGGGTGGAGCAGCGTGAGTGAGCTTTGACATGGAATTGTAAACAATGCTGAGAGCCTGGTTGTGCCTCGGCAACTGTCACATAATGTGACGCATGGACACACCTGAAGCTGCCTTGTACTGTATCAGACCCTTGGTCCCGCAAGGCCAGTATTGTCTTCTCAGACTGGCAGTGGTTCTCCAGGGTCTCGGGTGGAGGGCTTTCACATCGGCCACTGCTTTGACTTTTTAACTGGAGATGCCAGGTGATTGAACCTGGGACCTTCTGCATGCAAAGCAGTGGCTCTTCTACTGAGCCACAGCCCCTATCCATGCCAGTGTCACCTACTTTGATACTGAGCTTGATAGGCCAAGGGTTTGGCTCATAAGAACAAAAGAGAAGTCATGTTGGACCAGGCCAATGGTCCATCCAGTCCAACACTCTGTGTCTCACAGTGGCCAAAACCCAGGGGCCATCAGAAGGTCCACCAGTGGGCCCAAAACTCGAGAAGCCTTCCCACTATTACTTCCCAAGCACCAAGAATACAGAGCATCGCTGCCCCAGACAGAGTGTTCCATCTATAACTTGTGGCAAATAGTGGGTTGCCAAATGTTACCTACCTTGCCGGCGGGGGACTCCTGCGTGGCTCCCGGTGCGCGCGCACCACATGCACGTCACAGGAAAGTGACGTCATGACGTCGGGCACGCTGGGGGTGGGGCCACGACCATACAAGGGAAAACCATAGAGTTTTCCCTTGTATGGCCATGGCCCCGCCCCCAGCGTGCCCGGCGTCATAACGTCACTTCCCTGTGACGTGCACACTGGGGCGGGGTCTCCCCCAGGGCCCGATTCCCCGGCGTCAGGGAATGGGCCTCTGGGGCGGGGAGATTTCCGCCCCCCGGGGGGATTTGGCAGCCCTAGGCTAATACCCATTGATGGACCCCTGCTCCATATCTTTATCTAGTCCCATCAGAAATAAGAGAGAGCATCATTTGTGTGTTCAGTCATGGTCATGGACTGTCATTGGCTCTGCAGGCTGAGGTCTTTCACATCACCTACTACCTGATTGTTTTAAGTGGAGATGCTGGGGATTGAACCTGGGACCTTCTGCGTGCAGAGTGGATGTTCTACCACTGAGTCATGGTCCATCCTCTGACAAAGGGGAGATAGTTGAATCAAGGGAAAAGGCAACTGGAGGGGCAATGATTCACCCGGTATGAGAACGCAATTGGCGTGTGTATTTTAACCTACCTCCTGTTTTCTCCTATTCCCTTTTGAGTTTTCTCTCTTCAGATTCTATGAGCCAGGACTTGTCCCTTGTTTTAATTTTCTGCGAGGTACCCAGTTAAAGGTTAAGCGCTACACAGATGAATAACAGTAAGACGGCATTGTGTGAAGTGTCATTGTGGCTTTCATTTGTGTTGTGTTAGAGGCAGCGGCGTTCTGTGAAGACGCCATTCGTCACAGACTTCAGCATAATTCCTTTAATGCCAGTTACCCCATGTCTGTGACCTGCCATTCATATGAGACCAAATTACTCTGCAACGAATTAATTTTGCATGGGAAGAACAATACTCCTTATTAACCAAGATCGTACCTGGCCTCTGCACTTCTGATACAGCCAAATCCCAAGGAATTTCAGTGAACAAAGGGGAAAAAACATAATGCTCTGAGGAATGAAATCTGCCCTTATTGTTCATTTCAAAAGGAAGCAATTATTGCCTTGAACAAATGGGTTCTCTGTCGCGTGGGAAGAGGCACAATGTGCGGTTAACCTGATTTCTGTCAGTGGTAGAGACAAACGTTTTGTTTTATTCTTAGAGAAACAGTCTGATGCAGGACATGGAAGGGAAAAGCAGTTCCTCTGGAGAAAACAGTGGACTCTGTCATTATACCCTGCTGAGGTCACCACAGCAAATTGACACTGTTTGCCCAAAGCCAGAGCACTGCCCCAGAGCCTCTTTCTAGATCCCGTTGGATTGCTTTCACAACGGGCTTTACTGCTAGTCCATACATAATCCTTTTCATGAAGTTTGCTTAACCAAACATCAAATACATTAGTTTCCCCCTGTATTATTCCCTCCCCCCCCTCACACGAGCGACCAATTGAAGAAAAAACCCACCTTATTATTATATCTGCAACCATAAGCACACTCTATGGAGTTTTACAAACACATCATTATTGGCTCCCCCTTATTTCTTCCTTATCTCCAGCGCCTCATCTTCCCATGTCTTTTCCTGTTTTAATATCAATAAAATATCTGATTGAATCTATTCATACAGGTACCTATTCCATCTTTCCAAAGTCCATTTTAATGCATCTTTCCATCCATACACTATTACCGCATGAGCTACTGGGATCATTTGTTGTTGTTGTTCACTCGCACAGTCGAGTCCGACTCTTCGCGACCCCATGGACAAGATCACGCCAGGCCCTCCTGTCTTCCGCCGTCCTCTGAAGTTTGCTCAACTTCATGTTCGTTGCATCGATGACACTGTCCAACCATCTCATCCTTTGCCGTCCCCGTCTTCTTTGACCATCAATCTTTCCCAGCAACAGGGTCTTCTCCAGGGAGTGCTCCCTTCTCATTGGGTGGCCAAAGTATTTGAGCTTCAGTTTCATTATCTGGCCTTCCAGGGAACAGTCAGGGTTGATTTCTTTTGGGATTGACTAATTTGATCTTCTTGCAGTCCAAGGGACTCTCAAGAGTCTTCTCCAGCACCATAGTTCAAAAGAATCTATTCTTCGGCGCTCGGCCTTCCTTACAGTCCAACTCTTGCAGCCATACATGACTACTGGGAATACCGTTGCTTTGACCATGCGGACTTTTGTTGGCAGGGTGATGTCTCTACTTTTTATCATGCTGTTGAGGTTCGCCATCGCTTTCTTCCCAAGGAGCAGGTGTCTTTTAATTTCATGGCTGCTGTCACAGTCTGCGGTGATCTGGGATCCCAGGAACGTGAAGTCTGTCCCTACTTCCACGACTTCCCCTTCTATTTGCCAAGGAGTGATGGGGCCGGATGCCATGATCTTAGTTTTTTTGATGTTGAGCTTCAAGCCCACTTTTGCGCTCTCCTCTTTTACCCTGAGCAAGAGGCTCTTTAGGTCCTCTTCACTTTCTGCCATTAGAGTGGTATAGTCTGGATCTGTCTACTTTATTGTTTCCCCGAATTCCCATAAATAACACTTCCTCATTCAACTCAATCCTAACATTACATACATTTTCAACCTTTTCCAGGATCAGTTGCCAAAATTCCATTACCTTACAACATTCCTACCAAAGATGTGCATAATACTCTCTTACCCTTTTACAATGCCAACACTTCGATTTCATTCCCTTAATCATGTAAGATAATTGAGCAGGTGTTCTATACCATTTCAAAATTAGTTTCATTTCCAGTTCTTTGAATTTTTCCAGTTTTATTTCCAATAATCCCTTCATCAGTCTATTTACCTTCTGTGCTGATAGGGTCACCTCTTTCTCCCATTTAGATTGCATTGTCCTAATCATAAAGTCCTTATCTTTGTTCAGCAGATTATACAATTTCCTTGCCTTACCCTTTTTATTGTCATCTTTAGAACTGTACAGTTTTTCAAAGAGGTTTTCCCTTCTCTCCGGCTGACGTGCAGGCGGAGTGTGCGCGCTACACGCGCATGCTCAAGACGCCGTCTGGGAGTGGGGTGGGGTTTCCCCCGGGGCCCGATTCCGTGGCGGCGGGAATCGGGCCTCCGAAGTGGGGGTTTACCCGCCCCCTGCCCCCACTTGGCAGCCCTATTTTCCACCCAAGTGCTAACCAGGACCGACCCTGCTGAGCTTCCGAGGTGGGGCGAAACTGAGCTAGCCTTAGGGCATTTGGGTCAGGGCAGGGGGTAGGATCCACTCCATTAAAACACAGGATTAAAAGCAAACAACGCATCACGGGTTCGAAGGCCAGTGCTACATGGGGATCCAGCGGCAAAAAGAGAAACCCCTGGGTTTCCAAACCCAAGAAACAAAAATAACCAAAGTAATTATGAGGTATTTGGGGGGGAAAATAACCAGAATTGCTCTTAAAATATTCTTGGTTTTTACAAACGAGTTCTTGACGATCCAGGAATGTGCTTTGGAACATGCCTAACCCACCGGCAATGTTCCCTCTAAGATGTGGAGTCTTGTGAGCAAAAATTCTACTTTGTGAGCTACTGGCATTATTTCGTCCACCAGCGCCAGGGGCCAGGGAGATGCAGAGATGTCAGCGTTCGCATCGTTGTGCTATTATGTGCTGACTGCAGATGCCAAATTATCCATTAGGACTGCAGCCAGGCCCCAGGATGCCTTGCCCCCACCAAGTCAGCTGCTGCGCTCAGCAGTGCCAGGGGTCGGGGGGGTCGAAGAAGCGCCTCGCTAGCGCAGCTGCTGCGGAGGGCGAATGTTGCAATGATATTGATGACACTACTAATTTATTTAGCGGATGGGATTTCCAACAGGATGAGGATTCATCTCATCGCCCCATCCCTATTTATTGCCAAGTCAAGAGGCGAAGCGTTACTAATTTTAGTGTCCGGCTTAATTTGCCGCTGTGGTTCCTTTCGCTGCGCCAAACAAACAACACCACTGCTCTGCTATAGGTAATTGAAATATAGCTTTTAAGATATATTATGTTGACTCCCCTCCAATGTGGACATCGCCATCACATCGCCATGTAAGAACTGCCTTGCTGGGTCAAACCAAGGACCATCTAGCTTAGTAATGGCCCATGTGTGGCACGAATGGGATGGCCTTCTCTCCTGGTTTTGACCCAGACATCTGTTATTCAGAGGTGCACTGCCTCTGAATATGGAGGTTCCATTTCACTATCATGGCTGTTGATAAAGCTGTCTTTTATTAATTTCAAAAAGACATTTGAGCAAACAGTCACTGCCTCATCTTATGGGAATGAATCCCATAAGTTAACTACATGTTGACCTCTCTGGCTGGGTCAAAGGGCTTAAGTTTATCATGGGGCAGGGCTATTTTTGGGCAGGAACGCACAGGAACAGAGTTCCGGCTGGCT